GGGTTTAGGGTTTAGGGGTACTATGCCGTTGAACCCCCATAGATCTCCAAGGTCTTTCTGGCCACGAAAATATTGTCATGGCCAACAATCCCCGATCCGAGAAAGTGGCTCGGTGTAAAGGCAGGATTGTAATCATAGTGCTCCCAACGGCACTGGAAAACCTACCCGAAATCACCAAACCCTGAATCCTACGTACCCCTCCTTGCGAAACGAGGCAGATCATCTGCAAGCGGCTACTCTGAGATCGTTTCCATTCTGGCAGGTGTACAGGCATAGCTGCTTGCTGATGTGAGCAGACAATCTTAGGATGTGCAAAGTAGATCAATGTAGGGCTCAGTACGCACCAGTTTTTGTCAGTACTTTAGAGTCAGAGTACTTAGAGGTTTCAAAGCGTAGTGGTTATCAGGTGACTTTGTTTAACACTTAACGGTCAGAATTCAGAAGCATTCTCACGCGGACACTACTGTTTTCCGAATGCATCAGACAACCGCGCCTGCAATAAAAAGTGTCAGGCTAGGGGAGCAGAGTTAGCGTTCGTTCTTCGGCTCCATAAACACATACACATATGGGGGGTTCCTAGAATCAGGGGTGCCATTTTGGGCGTCCCCATAACAAGGGTTTATATTGGGTTCCCTTATTTAAGGCAACTACCATATACATGCCTACATTCAGTCATATGTGTGTATACCTACGCACATAGTTTTTTTTCTTGCGGGGTATTGCTGCTGCAAGGACTGAACCCAAGCACGCTGGAAGTTCGAACAAGTTAAAACCAGGTACTCTAATATCCTAGGGCTTTATCATGATCACCATTGTTTTTTACACTGGTGTTGCTCAATGTGCCTACCCAGCCCCTATACCCTAAACTCCCATGTCATCCCAGTGTCCATTTCATGTTCCATGCCAGCCCTAACAACCCTCGCCTTTGGGGATACTCGACGACTAATACTGTTCAATTCAAGTTCTTTGTTAAGAACACGTTATCCGCATATACGCTGGGAGCCCTACACTCCTTTCTTGTAGGAGGACCCCAGGAAGTACCGGTGACTATAGAAGGGATTATGTGATATTATTTGAGGGTCCTCTCATATTCCTATTATATCACCATTACAGGGCGGGGAGGTCCACTTAAGCTTCCCATTAGCTTCTCATTATAGTCTAACCCCAGCGAACTTTTCATAACGCTGCTCTTATTCCACCACTTTACGACTCATTTTCATTTCTTGTAGTCTCAACCCAAGGAGACATTCAAAATTGTAATTTCCATTGCAGGTCTAACGGGGTTGCAGAATCTGCCTTGTGGAACGATTCCCTGGACCCCAGAAGCAGTTCCGGGTCTGTGCAATTGTTTCTGGGTTTGGGGCCAGTATTTTGACTTCTTTGTGAGGTCCAGGTACTGGTTACGCATGTTTCAGAGTGATTCTAGTACACCTCAAAACGACCTTCGCAATTCTTCTACACTAACCCTGAACCCTAAATGCTAAGTCCCCTAAGACACCAAAAAATCCCCAGTCGCCATTTCATCTTCTGCTTTCTTGTCAACTCCGAGTTTCCTAACGAACCATAAAACCTAAACCCTAAACCCTAAAACCTAAACGAATCCCTAATCCCTGATTGTTCTAGTACATCCCGTCCTTGTGGATTTTAGACAGTCACGGGTTTCCCTACTACCCCCCCCTCCCCCCCATAGGTTCCCCCTTAGCGAGGGTTTTTTGGGGATATTCAAGGACAGTTAGGCAAAAACTAAGATTACTTAGGGGGAACCTACGGGGGGCAGTAGCCCTAAACCCTAAACACCTAAACCCTAAACCCTAAACCCCAGAGGGGGGTAGTCGCACAACCCATGAGACAAGGTGGAGCATGGTTGGTGCTTCCCAAGGGACAACTTCCAGTTGCCCCAGCCTAAGCAACAGCCCAAAGGGTCCCCAGGATGTTTAGGATTTAGGATTTAGGATGTAGGGTTTAGGGGTTTAGGGTTTAGGGTTTAGGATTTAGGATTTGGGTTGGGTACTGCCCCCTCCCAGTAACAGTCTATATTAGGGGTCCTATTAAGGGCTATATATAACCATATTGTTTTTATTATCCAACTGTTACTGAGGGGTGGCAGTACTGGATATAGGGCTTAGGGGTTGGGATGTAGGTTTTTTTGGATTTAGGGTTTAGGGGGCGGGATTTAGGGTTTAGGGATTAGGATGTAGGGTTTAGGGCTTGGGGTTTCGGATTTAGGGTTAAGGGCTCAGGGGTGCTTCCTACACAGAAAGCCAGATGTGGAGGCTTAGCTGCACCTATGGGGCTTTCTCCGCATAGCTGGGCGGGATCCCAGAACAAAGATTAGAAGGGTCCAAGGACCTAGATAGTAGGGTTTTAGGCCCAACTACCATTCATATTATAGTATGTTGGCCCTAAATCCCTATTATTTGGGTCCTTGGACGCTTAGGGTTAGAATAACATGAAGGGTCTGTATTGGGGTTCCCTATGCATGGAGATCCCCACATAGGAACCCATCGGAATCAATCTAGGACGGAATTTTGCTGAGTCCTATAAACTCCAAAGCCTACAGCCCCGCCTTTAACCCTAGAGCCTGCACCCGCAACGCGAATAACCCCCTCCCTGTAGTTCAGAATGCAACACCCCGCCCTTCATAATAGACATGCCCAATCTACTATAAATGGTAAAATTGAAATCTTCATAGTTAGGGGATGGGGATAATACACGCCCAATCTACTGTACTTTACTATCACGGCAATCTTCATTTTTAGGGGGGGTGGAGGTTTACTATAGGGAGCCCCAAACCGAAACCCCAAAGCCAACGCCCCAAATCCTGGACCCTAAACCCTAAACGCCCTAACCCCTAAATCCTGAACCCTAAATCCTAAACCCCAGACGCCCTAACCCCTAAATTGTAAACCCTAAACCCTAAATCCTAAAACCTAAATTCTAGATCCTAAACCCTAAATCCTAAAACCTAAATTCTAGACCTTAAACCCTAAATCCTAAAGCCTAAATCCTAAGCCGCAGGGAGAGGAGTGCTTACTTGCCCCTTTCGGCCCCACATCCAGAACCGGGTTGCTAAGCCTCCAACCTGGAATTCCTGATAGGGTTTAGGATTTAGGGTTTACGTTTTAGGGATTTAGAGTCTAGGATTTCAGGGTTTAGGGTATTAGGGTGTAAGATCTAGGGTTTATGATTCAGGCTTGGGATGTAGGGTTTGGGGTGTTGGGCTCAGGATTTAGGATGTAAGGTTTAAGGTTCAGGGTCTATCTAGGGAGCCCAAGCCCTAAGGCACAGAGAAAGCTGAAGGCCCAACACTGATGCACATGGAACCCTAAATCGTGTGCAGCATATCTTGCAACATGTCTTTCTTGGAACCTTAGGAGGGGGTGTTGCCGAATTTTTGAATTATTCAGTTGCCTGGAAGATGGGTTATCCTATCTTGTACATGAGACCCTCCCAGCCCCAATTTGCGGAATCTTTCATGTTCTTGTAGTTCCTAAACCCTTAGGTAATGAGTCTGGCTTCTCCATTGAGGTAAGGCGAGTCTGAATTGAGGTGTGGCCCTAAAACTTACACCCTTAATCGCGTGTGGCAAGCCCTTGGGCCCGGACGACGACGAAAACTGGGGTGAGTGGAAACCGAGTACTTAATTTTGTCCTTGCCTCGCAGCTGTCTGACTACTTGTCTAATGTACAGCATCAGGCAGTAGGTCAATGTTTCGTTCGCAAAAAGGGACATGACGCTGCAGGCAGGCACCCGGAATTTAGGACCGCTATAGGGGCGGTTACGGAATCTCCTGGCATACATGGCATGCTGGAGGCAGACTGGAGCACTGGAGCCATGGAGAAGCTGCTGAAGCTGTGAACCTTCCCCACGTACCCCAAAATGCACGCAAATCGGACCTATCCATGAGACACAATCAAAAGTCTTTAAAGGCGGGGTATATAAGGATCATATAGGGGAGCATTATAGGGGTTATTAAGGGGGATACTAGGAGTTTAGATTATGGCTCACCTGGATCCCTGCTAAGGGCACTGCGGGGGTTCTAGTTGTAATTCTTGTATGTTAGGGTTTAGGGTTTAGAGTTCATCTACATGATTCTCTTCGTAATCCTTGTATAAACTCATGTTGATTCATTCCGCCTCATATTAACTGCCTAGAAAAGGGGCTACAGTAAGGGGCCAGTATGGCTAATATTACCTCTTCTGGTAACTGTTACTGCAAGGGGTAAGGACCTAAAGCTTATCTAGATGTACTCCAAAGTCCTATTCGAATTGGTTAGAAGCCCCCCTATGACAACAAGTTTCCATTCCATGGTTTCTTGGCATTAGAGTCTCCAGTACTGTTTTGATGTACGTCCCTATAGCACCACAAGCCCCAATCCTAATCCCAAACGCTAAGCCCCTAAACCCTAAANNCCCTAAGCCCCTCAACCGCTAAACCCAACCCCCTAAAGCCAGACCATGCGCCACAGAGGCCTTGTCGCAGCGCCGCTCCCTTCATACTTCGATGGTTGGGAGCCTGGAGCTTAATTCCAGTGCCTGCGGGTTTGGGTTGGGGTTAGAGGGATTAGGCTGGGTAGGCCGCAGGGATATTTAGTATTTTCCCTAATGGCTTTCATAGAGGACCCTATATACTAATATTTTTGAAAGGGTTTTAGGGGCCAACCCAGTAGGGGTTGGGGTTTAGGGGTTTAGGGTTTGGAGCTTGGGTCCGTAGGGTTTAGGGTAATGTCAACCTAGGTTTTTTGGGGGGATTGTATAAGGAAGTAGTATAGGGGTTATTCAGGGGACTAGGAGTTTTAAGTATACATCAAATAGCCCAATGTTGGTATTGTGTATAGGCTTTTTGGACCAATGTAGGTGTTATTTATAGACTGAGAGACCCAGGGAGAATCTGTGCAAGCCTAAACCCCAGATCCTGAACCGTGTGACTCCTGGTCGGCACACCCTGAGTATGCAATTTCGCCTCAGCCTATGCAAAACAAAGCATTCCATGATTAACTCAGACCCTCACATCCTTACTCTCATCCAAACTAATATGGAGCCGCCAAAAGCGCCCCTTAAAGACTACCGTCCTTTAACATTTCGGTTATGTGGCGTTCCAGGTTAGCTTGGGTGAGTATAACACCTAAAACCTTGTATATCCCTGCAGTTACCCTTAGATAGCCCCTCAATAGCCCCCCCTTCATAGCCCCTTAAACCCCAAGATCCTTAGCCCCAAAAACCCGACCTGCGGGAGGTACTTCCACAGCCCATCGTTCCTCCTCAGGCGATCCAGGC